AATTACTTCCTTGCTACTTCATAACTATAATTTTGCAACTGTCATGAATCATAATGCAAATATCTGATTGCTGAGAACCACCGCTCCCGTTATCGTAAACTGCACCAGGTTACGTTAAAGCTTCTGAAATCAGTTAACCCTTTCCTCTCTCTCTCTCTCTCTTTGGTTTTTCGAGACAAGGTTTCTCTGTGTAGTTTTGGTGCCTGTCCTGGAACTCACTCTGTAGCCCAGGCTCGAACTCAGAGATCCGCCTGGCTCTGCCTCCCAAGTGCTGGGATTAAAGGCGTGAGCCGCCGCCACTCGGCTCCTTTCCTCTCTTAAGGTATTCTGGTCACATTGATTCAAAAATAACATACAACATGAGAGGTAATGGAGGGAAGCAAAGATGCCCCCCAACAGGGGCCTTGACCTCGTCCCCCACATCTTCCTTCCTTCCTTCCCTGCCTTACCTTCTCTCTCTGCACCAGCTTCTTATAGACAATGTCTGGGAAAGACCGCAGAGGACAGAACTTGCCAGTGCCCTCAGCACACATGAAGACGCCGTTCTCATACACCACACGCCCCCTGCTGATGGTGACCAGTGGTACGCCATGGCAGCGCATGTTCTCATACAGATTGAAGTCTCCACCCTGCACCTGGGTGCTGGCTGAGATGGTCCTGGTGGGAGAGGAGGTCGGGACAAGATCTGAGCACAGGGAAAGACGGTACAGCTTGATGCAAAGAGATGCTGCCCCGTGGGAAGGAATGATACCCAGAGCTGTCAGATAGGGGCTTAATTCCATCCCCTTACAATTCTTGTGTTGAAAATGCTACCCCCAGCATCTCAGAATGGGACCATATTTGGGCCCAGAGCCTTTAGAGAATTAATGCAAAAGGTTATATACTTTTGTATATTAAAAAATGTGTACTTTTCCCGTCCGCCTGGCGTCCTTAGAAGAGGGGACAGAGACATTGGACATGGGTATACAAAGGAATGGTTTATACATGAGCTTGGGAGGCAGACAATCACCAGCATGTCACTGCCACATTCCTCTACACTTGAAATGCTGCAAAGATTATTCGCCTTTCAGTTCTGTACTACAAGTTCTTAAAAATCCCAAGCCCTCCTAGTCCCAGGAGACTAGCGGCAAGCTTTACTTTGTGGCTTCCGGGTCCCACACCACCACATCGGCATCGGCTCCGGGGATGATGCGGCCTTTGCGAGGATACAGGTTGAGAATCTTGGCTGCGTTGGAGCTGGTGACGGCTACGAAACGGTTCTCATCCATCTTCCCTCCAACCTGGAACGAGGTAGAAGTGTCAGCTCAGCCCGGCTCTGGATCTGTGGCTCCCTTTCCCAGGCACTTGCTACCCAGCCTGTGGTCTTGTAGCTCAGAGGGCCACAGCTGTGGTCCTAAGGCAAACAGTGTGAGTGGCACTGTCCCACTATGAGTCAACTGGCAGGGCTTGAGAGGGCCTACTGGTCCCTTTATCCCTCACCCGGCCACCCTGGTGACTTGTGCCAAAGGCTGCCTGCCTGGGACCAACGCACCTCCTAAGACAAGCTCCACTTAGACGCCCACTTGGGATGACTAAGGGGCTTCCCTTCATGTGCAAAAGCTTACGTCCTGTCTTGCTTGCTGGTCTTCTTCCAAGGCCCACACAGAACGCCCGAAACTACAGGGAACTGAGCTCTATTCACACTAGGCTTACTTCACATACGTGCACACCTTACGACCAAGTTAACTCCAAAGTTAGGCACGGCAGGAAGCTGACAAGAACTATTAGAATAATGGAACAATACACTGTAACAGAAATTATTTAAATACTTACAGTATAGGCTGTGATAGCGCATGCCTGTGATTTTAGCTCTGGGAAAGCTGAGGTAGGACTCTTGTGAATTTAAGGCCAGCCTGGGTTACAGAATGAGTTCCAGGCCGGCCTGGGGTACAATGTGAAACCCTGTCTCAAACAAATGAACAACTCCCCCAAACTTACGAACTATTTTTAGAATTTCCCACTAAATGTTTTGTGGACTGTGGACCACCTGACACAGTAGAAAGCTGGGAGAGGTTACGGTATCTTCTGTGTTCTGAGAGAACTACCTGCTCTGCTGCTGTGGATTCTCCTCAAGGGACATGCCCTGAGCTAGGTCCCAGCCTCACCCTGAGCAGATAGCTTAGTGTTTATGACTTCAAATCTCTTTGAGCTCCTACTGAGCGTTGGGAGTTTTCCATGATAGACCAAGACCAAAAAATACTTAACTCTCCGTAGGCAGAACAGGTGGCATTCAAATGAAATTCCAGCCCCGATCTTTTTTGAAATTCAATTAGACAAAACATACCCAGAACTTCATATTCGTATCCCTTGACCCAAAAATCCCCTTCTAGAAATCTGTCCTAAGGAAGTAATTAGAAATGGTGACGTTCTCAAACAAGGACTCTCCTACAGCAGCATTTGAAGTGTGAAAACCGGAAATAGCCAAAAGTTTCAAAGGAAGAATTAAATATAGTATTCCCATTGGAGGGAGTATTACGTAGTAATTTTTAAAAAGACACTTTGAGCCTAGGGGCGTAGGGAGTGGTGGAGCTCCGGCCTAGTGTGTATGAAGAGCTAAGCTGGATCACAAGTAGCAAAAACCAGCTTTTTAAAAAGCCCACAACCGGGGCTGGAGAGATGGCTCAGAGGTTAAGAGCACCGACTGCTCTTCCAGAGGTCCTGAGTTCAATTCCCAGCAACCACATGATGGCTCACAACCATCTGTCATGAGATCTGGCGCCCTCTTCTGTATACATAATAAATAAATAAATCTTAAAAAAAAAAAAAAAAAAAAAAAAAGCCCACAACTTTGTGGAGTTCTAGGAAGACACTCACAATGACTTAAAATATGAAGAAAATCAAGATGAATCCAGTTACTAAAATAGTGTATGTAGCCAGGCACAGTGGCCTCCACCTAAAATCCTGGCACTTGGGAGGATGAAGCAGGAAGACCGCCGACCATTCAAGGCCAAACATGTCAACAGAGCGAGATCCTGCCTCCAAAACCAGAAGGAAAGATCCAGTACATGCGCTGAACTTCAGAAGCACACCAAAATGCTAACGTTCTAGGTATCAAATTGTATGGATTTTTTTTCCTTATGCTCTTCTGAACTTTTCACATGTCAATAACAGGTCCTATCACTTTCTTAATGAAATGGGGTGAGTCTCCCCCCCAACCCCATAAGTGTGCGGTGACACTATGCTAGCTATACATGACCTCTGCCACCTAGTGACACTACCAACCTCTTTGCCTTGCTGTTGGGTAACACAGGAGCGAGCTGTGACTGGGTCATCTCTCCTGCGAAGGCTAGCCTCGGTGGTCAACTTGACTGGAATTAACTAAAACCCAGGCAGTTAGGCACACCTGTGAGGGATTTCTCTTGAATGGATTATTTGAGGTTGGCAGGTCCACCCCGATGCTGGGCCATACTCTCTGGTATATATATATGGACATGGAAGAAGGAAGCTTTTTCTCTTTGCCTGCTTGTCCTCACTCTTGCTGGCAAGTTCATCTACACTGTTGCTGGGGCATTCCTTCGCTGATATTAGAGCCTACTTTGTTGGTATTCTAACATATACTAAAGACTGGTTGAGACATCCAGCCTCATGGGCTGAATGACTACTGGATTCTTGGACTTTCTGTTGGGAGACAGACATTGTTGGGCCAGCCTGTGAGGTACTCTTTAAGATCCTATATATACGTGTGTGTGTGTGTGTGTGTGTGTGTGTGTGTGTGTGTGTGTGTTCACTCTATCAGTTCTGTTCCTCTAGAGAACCCTGACTAACACACCCCGCTAAGAGTGGGCTTGGCTGGAATCTTCAGTGCGGGCAAGGCTGCAGACACCTACCACTCCCCTCTCCCAGATCACGCTCATTCGATCCTGCACGCCGCTCACACCGTGTGGGATCTTGGTGAAGTCTTCCTTGCCCATGGCTTTCTGCTTTGTGGTGAATGGCCGGTGATCTGATGCCACAATATTCAGAGTGTCACTGGGGAGAGAGAAGTGGCCAGTGAGGGGACAGGAGGCCAATGCCCCGGGCGGGGGAGGGGGGGGCAGGTTGAGGGGAAAGCCTGGGCTTGGGAACCTGGAGAATCCATTTCCAACCTGATCTTGCTGCTTCCTTGCTGGGTGAGCTCTGGTGGTTTGTTTCTTTCATTTAAGAAATTTATCCATCTACAGAATTGGCATATGCGCAGGGCATGTTCCAGGAGACTTCTGCAAATGCTTGGGCTGATGATTGTTAAGATAGTGGGCAGAGAACTTACCCACCATTTAGAGCTTGGCGGGGGTGAGATGGCAGAAGTGATCTTAATGTCCAAGGCTCACATGCCAGCTCGCTTGCCCCACACTGTCCCAGGAGGACACACTTAGTAGGTGCTTGACAAAGCGTTTCCAAATCAGTGCTAAACTTGCTAAGTGGCTGGGAGCCACAGCGCCCAAGAGAAAGCATCCCAAGACTTAACAAACCACTGTCTAGAAGCTGATGACCAGTTCACCAGTTCACCAGTACCATCCACGACAAAGTCTTCAGGCGGATACAGAACCAGGGAAGGGTGTTCAGAGAAGCATGCTGTGGCCAGCTCTCTGCCAAAGAGGGAGGCAGACAGACGGACGCCCCTCCCTTCAGAGATTTCTGGACTGGAAGACGCAGCGATGAGAATGCTTATGTCACCAGGGCAAAGGAACCCTCACAGGGACCTGGCTGCCGCAAGGAGAGGATGTGGAAGCGGGGACATTCCTGGGAGTGCTCTGTAGAGCCCCCGAGGGTCTCATGTCTTGGGGATAAGCACATGGGCTAAACGGGCAGCCCACTCTGAAGGGGCCCTGGGAGCAGAACAGGGTGTGATGTGGTCTGGGGCTCTGGGGGCAGATTTTGAGGCTCTTGGCAGTTACCGGTCAGGCTACACAGAGGGTTGTCTCTCCCCGGACCTGGCAGGCCCAACAGTTCAGGCTCTTGCCAGAGACTAATAATGCCCCTGGCAAGTCCACGGCAAGATGACTCAGCTCTTTGGGTGGTAGGGCTGACCTCAGCCTAGGCTACAGAGACAGGATGAGACGTCCGGAGAACAAGAGTGTTCTAGAACCCCTGAGGCTCCCCATACCCCGTGAACCTGCAGAGGCCACAAGAAATGATGAGATCTCAGGGTCTGCTCTCTTCTCAGAGATCCTCAGATATCCAGGTGAGGCTTAGACTAGGGGGGATTCCAACAGAATAATGGGTTACAGGTCAGGGACCCCGAAACTCAGGCTCAACTCCCACCCTTTAAATGAGCACCTAACTTCCTCAGAAGCAGGTACCACTCAGCAAGTGTGAATAAATGGTAGTAAATTTTTAATTTTTGTTATTTATTATTTTTTTAAAGATTTATTTATTATGTATACAGTGTTCTGTTTGTATGTATGTCTGCAGACCAGAAGAGGGCACCAGATCTCATTACAGATGGTTGTGAGCCACCATGTGGTTGCTGGGAATTGAACTCAGGACCTCTGGAAGAGCAGTCAGTGTTCTTAACTGCTAAGCCATCTCTCCAGCCCTTGTTATTTATTATTTATCTATTTATTTATCTATTTATTTATCTATTTATTTATCTATCTATCTATTTATTTATTTATTTATTTATTTATTTATTTATTTATTTGTGTGTGTGTGCGCGCGCGCACATGTGGGTATCATGGCATGAGCATGGAGATCAGAAGACATCTTTCCTTCTAACATGTGGGTTCTGGGGATTAAACTTAAGGTGTCAGGTTTGGTGGCCATTGTCTTTTACCTGCCCAGGAAACCAGACTTGAAACCAAAGGACAAATGTGGCTTGTACTTTTTATTCAGGCTTCACCTGAGAAAGGATGCCATAAAGGAAATGAAGGGTGAGCAACTCAGATTCTCTCTCTCTCTCTCTCTCTCTCTCTCTCTCTCTCTCTCTCTCTCTCTCTCTCTTATTCCTTTTTATTTTATGGGTATGGGTGTTTTGACTGAATGTATAGCTCTGCATCACATAGATGCAGTGCCTGAGCAGCCAGAAGAGACCCTCTGGTCCCCTGGAACTGGAGTTACAGACAATTGTGAGCTGCCATGTGGATGCTGGGACTTGAACTCAGGTCACCTGGAAGAGCAGCCAGTGCTCTTAACTGCTGAGTCCTCTCTCTGGCCCTCAGATTCTCCTGTAGGACAGGTAACTGATGTCTGGGTTTACCAGCCAGCATTCTTCATCACATAAATTATACCAACAACATGTTATAGGAGAAAATTATAGCAATCATAAATTCCTATAAATAGTTAGAATTGTGCCCTGAATCCTATAAAATAGCACACATTTACAATGTGCACTGATTAAAAAGGAACTAAGACTATTTCTCTACCATATGATATCATAATTCTTACATGAGAATGTATTTAAATAATTAAAATCAATTAATTATTCAATGAATAATGCTTCCTTTTCCTGTCTGAGTATGGGTAGACTGAACACTTACTGTATTCTTGTTCCTTTGGCAAATTTTTTTGTAGCAAGTGGAATATTTCAAAGGACACTCTGACTTTGAACCTAGTCTTTATTACAGTATTATTTTTTAATATGTAAAAATGGTTGTTGTGCGTGTTTGCATGTGTGTGGCTGCACATGTGTGCATGCATGCATGCAGAGGCCCAAAGTTGCCATCACATGTGTCTTCCACAGTGGCTCTCCACTTCATTTATTGGGTCACGTGGGCACCTCCATTTGGCTATCAGACTCTTGAAACAATGGACCCCAAGAAATTAAGAGTTTCCCCAGAAACCTTCATGTTGAGAGACTGAGAGTCTCTGTGGGCGCCATGGGCCCTGGCCCCCGACTGGGAGTGGCTGCGGCCTTGCTTGCTTGACCTTGATCAAAATTCCTCCCTATTTGGATTCCCTGCCGGTATCCACCCTTCTGAATGCTTAAGGGAAGTTCCTTGTTGTGTATCCTGTATTTTGGGCGTTAACTACTTAGATGCTAGATGGTCGAACATTGAGTCTGGAATGTAGACCATTGACAGCGAACTTCTGCCCTCCGGGGGTTCCTCCATTTGTGCTGTAAGCCTGTAAGTATTTAAGGTTTCTCCCCTCTTTCAATAAACGGCATTCGACATCCAATCGTACGAATGACTCGCTGTCTTTTGTCTCTATTTTTTAATCCGCAGCCCTTCGCTCAGACATGGTGAACGGTTAGCAGTAACGCGGGCGTTACCGCTACAAATGGAGGTTCCTACCGAGATCTGAGAAAGAAAGGACCAGCTGACGGACACTCTTGGAAGGCCGGCCGGCATTTTAAAGGTAAGAGTGGATTGAAATGTTGAAATGGGTGCAGGTAGCTCACAGTCAGTTAATTGGACTGTTGAAGCAGGAAGGCACCAAAGTTAAGAAAGGACAAGACAGCTAAAGATTTTAAATGAAAAAGGAAATCTTCCCCATAGAGAAGAGGGAAATTTCCCGTTAGAAAAGGGAGAAAAATTTTAATCAAGAAAAAAGGATTTTCCCGGTAAAAAGCGGAAAAATTTTTGAAACTAGGCCTAAAGATTGGGGCCCTGTAGAGGAAGGATGAAGGAAAGAGAGAAGCCTCTTCCCAGTGGTAATGGAGGATGTAAAGACTTTTTCCAACTGTAGAGTTTTCAGGATAGCTGAAACTCTGAGTTCTCTCTGCCAGTGCAGAGCCGCAGCATCTGAATTACAAAGAATCGGCAGGTAGGCCTCATTGCTGCTGTCTGAACAGCAGGCGAACCCAGAGCTTAAAGTTTTGCTGTTTGTTTGCTTAATTTTGGTTCAAATGTTTTTTATTTTTTCCTTCAGAGTGGGAATAGTTCAATATTTAGGGTCCCTTCGTGGGAAATGTTTTTCTGTTTTTCCCTTATGGTGGAAATAACTCGTTATTAGGTAGTCCCTTCATGGGAGTAGGAAGTTTAAGGGTGAGTTTGTGTGTGCGGGCACACACCCAATGGCGTGGCGGACAAAGGCGTGCACGAGATAGCCCAAAGCAGCGGGCGGGTGGACAGGTACACGCCGGTGGGAGGCAGAGTCGTGATGGAGTGCGGCCCAGGCAGGCGCTGGCAATAGAGCCCGAGCAGTGGGCAGAGCAAAGCTAAGCTACAGCCTCAGCTCTCGCCAAGCGATCAGAGGCCGGGAAGGGACTAGCACTAAAAGTTTAAACGGGCCTAACTTCTGGTGAATAATGGTTTCGGTCAGGACATGCTAAGTCAATGCTGTTTGAATAAAGGATGTTCTGTTCTTTTGATTGTCTTGATAAATGTTTGGATAAATGTTTGATCCTCATGGTAGATAAACTAAAGGAACAAAATTCATAATTTTGAACTATATATTAGATGTGCTCTTGTCTGTTGATCATTACTGAAAATTTGGCTCTACAATTTAAGTTGCTTTCTAAAAATTCTTGGTTTAATTCTATAAAAATATAACACCT